CAAAAACTAAAACCATTCCCTCTAAGAACAGGAACAAGACAGGGATGCCCACTTTCGCCACTCCTGTTTGACATAGTACTGGAAGTACTAGCCATTGCAATTAGACAAGAGGAGGAAATAAAAGGCATCCAAATTGGAAAAGAAGAAGTAAAGTTATCCTTATTTGCAGATGACATGATATTGTACATAAAGAACCCAAAAGACTCCATTAAGAAACTAATTGACTTAATAAATGAATTTGGCAATGTAGCAGGATACAAAATTAACGCCAAGAAATCCATGGCATTTCTATACACCAACAGTGAAACTACAGAAACAGAGACTAAAAAAGCAATTCCATTTACCATCGCACCAAAAAAATTAAGATACCTAGGAATAAATTTAACTAAGGAAGTAAAGGATCTATATGCAGAAAATTACACGACATTGAAAAAAGAGATAGAGGATGATGTAAGGAGATGGAAGAACATACCATGTTCATGGATTGGTAGAATCAACATCATCAAAATGTCCATACTTCCTAAAGCAATCTATAGGTTCAATGCACTCCCCATTAAAATACCAAGGGCATATTTCACTGACCTAGAAAGAACTCTCCAACAGTTCATTTGGAACAATAAAAGACCCCGAATAGCCACAGCAATCCTGAGAAAGAAGGGTAAAGTAGGAGGGATCTCAATACCGGACTTCAAACTGTATTACAAAGCCACTGTTCTCAAAACAGCCTGGTACTGGCAGAAGAACAGACATATAGATCAATGGAATAGAATCGAGAACCCAGATATCAACCCAAATCAATATGCTCAATTAATATTTGACAAAGGAGGAAAGAATATACAATGGAGTCAAGACAGTTTCTTCAATAAATGGTGTTGGGAAAATTGGGTAGACACATGCAAAAGAATGAAACTAGATCACCAACTTACACCATACACAAAAATAAACTCAAAATGGATACAGGACTTAAACATCAGACGGGAAACCATAAAAATACTAGAAGCATCCTCAGGCAGCAAAATCTCAGACGTATGCCAAAAGAACTTCTTCACTGATACTGCCCCTAGGGCAATGGAAGCTAAAGAGAAAATAAACAAATGGGACTACATCAAAATAAAAAGCTTTTTTACAGCAAAAGAAACCATCAACAAAACAACAAGAAAGCCCACGGTGTGGGAGAACATATTTGCAAATAACACCACTGATAAAGGTTTAATCTCTAACATCTACAGACAGCTGATACAACTAAATAAAAGGAAGATGAATGATCCAATTAAGAAATGGGCAAGGGACCTAAATAGAATATTTTCAAAAGAAGACAGAAGGAAGGCCAAAAGGCACATGAAAACATGCTCAAAGTCACTAATTATACGAGAGATGCAAATCAAAACAACAATGCGGTACCATCTCACACCTGTCAGAATGGCCAACATCAACAAATCGACAAACGACAAGTGTTGGCGAGGTTGCGGAGAAAAAGGAACCCTCGTGCACTGCTGGTGGGAATGCAGACTGGTGCAACCACTGTGGAGAACAGTGTGGAGTTTCCTCAAAAAACTGAAAATGGAACTCCCATTTGATCCAGTAATCCCACTCCTAGGAATATATCCCAAGAAACTAGAAACACCAATCAGAAAGGATATATGCACCCCTATGTTCATAGCAGCACAATCTACAATAGCCAGAATTTGGAAACAGCCTAGGTGCCCGTCAGCAGATGATTGGATCAAAAAACTTTGGTACATCTACACAATGGAATACTATGCTGCCATAAAGAAGAAGGAATTCTCATCATTTGCAGCAACCTGGATGGAATTGGAGAACATCATGCTGAGTGAAATAAGCCAATCAATGAAAGAGAAACACCACATGACCTCACTCATTTGTGGATAATAAAGAGCATTATAAACTGATGAACCAAAAGATAGATATAGAGACAGTAAAGCAACAAGCAGATTGTCAAATTACAGCGGGGAGGGGAGGAGGATCTGGGGGAGATAACAGATCAACCGAAGGACTTGTATACATGCATATAAGTACAACCAATGGACATAAAACTATGGGGAGGGAGGGGATATGGGGGAGGGAGGGAGGGGGCAAAAAAAAATCATTAAAATATGTAAAAATAAATAAATAAATAAATTTAAAAAAAAAAAAAAAAAAAAAAAAAAAAAAGAAAGCATATTGTCAGTTTAATCTTTTTTAAAAAATGTGTATATGTATGTGAAATATACCAAACAAAATTATAGAAGATATAGCTACAGTTTAAAAAATGTTTAAATACCTGTGTACTTGCCACCCAATTTCATAGAACATTACCAATATCTCTAGAACCTGCTATGTGCCCCATCCCAGTGGCCTCTGTCTCCTGCAGAAGTAACCAGATGGTAAATTTTGTGTCAATTATCTTGCTTTTTAACACATATGGATGCTCTGTTAGACATCATATTGTTAGTTGATTGGAGCCTTAAATATTACCTAAACTAGCATATTTAAAACTTTTTACTTAGTCCAACAGTAAGAAGTAATGTTTTACTTAATACCCAATACACACATAAATACAGTTTGTAAAATTGAAACAGAAGTTTCATGAAAGAGTACTTCATATAGTCTACTAGTATGTAGTACAATATGAGCCTTTCCATTACACTCCTTCCTTTCATTAAAAAACAAACAAAAACTTGTCCAAACCCTTAAAATTAATTGCACACCCACTAAGGGTATACAGTCCTTAAACAATGTAAAAAACCCGGAACTAGCCTGAAGTCCCAATTTTACAGTGTAGGAAGCCAAAGCCCCGGCTTATGACATGCATCTCCTCAAGTTGTACAGTAAGTGAAGAGTTGGGATCCAAATCTCTGAACTCCTATTTTCTCTGAGTCTACTTCTTCACTCATATATGTCAGCCAGTCCAAAAGTCATACAGGATGGAGAAAATAGAAGCTGTTGGTGAGTTTTAATTGTGACATGGGAAATTAAGTCTTCTGATGCCTCCTTCACATCTACACTAGGCATTGCAGGGTAACCACTGCTTGCTGAACCCAACTCATTGGTGGGACCACTTTCTGTTACCTCTGACCTTCACATCCACCCTGCACAATGGATATTATCCTTTCTAGAGGCCCGATGCATGAAAATCCATGCACTGGAGGTGGGGTTCCTCAGCCTGGCCTTTCCCCTCTCACAGACAGAGAGCCCTCAGGGTTGGGAGGCAACCCAGCAATCAGGGGAAAGCGATGCCCCATCACACTTCTGCTGCTGCCACTGCCTGCAGCACAAGCTTCGGCCAGCCCTGGTTACCTGAGCCTCAGGCAGCCATGGGTGGCTGGGCAGCAGCCATCCAAGGTGGGCACAGCCTTGCCAGCTACCTGCTGCCCGGGCAGGGCTGAGGGGACTGGGCATCGCCATCTTGTGACTGTGGGTGCCGCCATCTTTGAGGGTGAGGCAGTCAATTAGCATATTTCCTCATTGGCCTTGGGCACTGCCATCTTTGAGGGTGGGGAGCAATTAGCATGTTCCCTCGTTATTGGCTGTGGGTGTCACTATCTTTGCAATGGTGTGAGGGTCAACTACCATATTCCCTCTTCATTAGATAGGATTTTATCAGCCAAGGAAGGATGGTTCCAATAAATGATGTGCCTCCGTCATGAAGCTCATACAATGAGGACCTGGGCATAGCTGTCTGACCCCAAAGCTCATGGAGTTTGATGGTCTCACACTGCCTCTTTAGAATTCTTAACTTGACTTGCTTATTACTATTCCTCTCCGAAAGACAAAGCAACAATAGGAATGTTGTCCAGAATGCATTTTAACCAATAAGAGAAACTAGTTAGTGATGTGTTTGTAGACTTGCTTGCTTATTCTCTCCCCTGTCAACCCGTTAGCTCCCGGAGCTCATGGGCACATTGTAGACTCACGGTGAATATTTATGGAATACATAAGCAAGGGTATTTAGGCAGGTCACATAGTAGCTGGGAGCACACCCTATGGTGAAAAACTGACTGGGTTCAAAATTAGATGTCCCTTACAAGCTATTTGATGATGAGCAAGCCACTTCTCTGGTGCCAGTTTCCTGGGGACGCTAATGGTCTAATGGTGCCTATGCCGTAGTATGGCTCTATGAGTTACTAAAGGAAAGCACTTATATCTGCGCCTGGCTCATAGAAGTACTGTATGAGCACTGTGGCCTAAGGTTATGATGACAAAGCACGGGACTATTGGACCTCTGTCTCGGGTTTTAGGAAAAACATGTCAGAATGTTTAGAGGTAAACTGAGTATAATCAGATGGCGAGAGACTCAGAGAGACTGCCTTTCATGTGCCATTGGTGCTAAAATTGTGCTAAATAAATAAATGTGCTAAAAAGCACAACTCCGTTTCATCATGAAAGAAATTTATTTCTGACTCAAAAGAAAAAAAATCTTAGTCTAAACCAGATTTTAAGCAGATGGCCTGTGAATATGTTAGTGCTTACGAAGCACCGACATGGATTCTTAAATAATAACATTTTTAGGAGACTGTCATAGATGCACTGAGTCTTATTTTTCAGGGAAATGTTTAGTAATTCTGGTTTAGAGAACAGCAGAGTATTTGGATAAGTGAGGCCTTCCTGAAGATGCCCCTAGATCTGGGCCTCCATTTTCTCGTTTTCTCATTGGCACAATGTGCTTCAATGACTGCAGTGTCCTCCTCGTGAGGGCTGAGAACGAACAGATAAGGTGTGTGTAGCGCTGAGTAAGCAGGGAGCAGGTGGAAGCCCCGATGGCCAGACCTGAATAAGCAGGTCAGAAGGTGAAATAGAACGTGGAATAGTCAGAGGGTTCTCAGCTGTTTGCCTCTCACAAACACAGTCTCACGTGCTCAGGTGAGAGGTGGGCATTTGCACGGCAGTTGTCAAAACAGGCTCCTAAGGTCCCTTGACCGTTGACAGGAGGCCGAGCCAGAAGACCCCACTGAGGCAGCTTGAGGTCTGAGCACCTGTTGCTTGCTTCTCTCTCCCTCCAGGGGCCTTCGTGGTGTGCTGGACCCCGGGCCTGGTGGTGCTGCTGCTGGATGGCCTGAACTGCAAGGAGTGCGGCCTGCAGCACGTGAAGCCGTGGTTCCTGCTGCTGGCCTTGCTCAACTCCCTCATGAACCCCGTCATCTACTCCTACAAGGACGAGGACATGTACAACACCATGAAGAAGATGATCTGCTGCTTCTCTCAGGAGAGGAACCCGGAGAGGCGGCCCTCCCGCATCACCTCCACGGTCCTCAGCAGGAGCGACACGGGCAGCCAGTACATGGAAGATGGTATCAGCCAGAGCACCGTCTGCAACAAGAGCAGCTCCTAATCCCGGTGCCCTCGGCCCTCCCAGCCTGCACTGCGCGGAGAGCTGCTAAGCATGGTTGCCTGTCTCTAACAAAGCCCGTGTACAGTGTTATTTGAGGTCTCAACTAATCATTGCTAGATTAAAAAAAAAAAAAAAAAAAAAAAAAAAAAAAGGAATTGTTTTACGTAGTTTAAAAGCCTGGGCAGTAAAGGGAGGACACCATGCATTTAGAGAAAATGCACAGAAAGAGGGGGAATCACACAGTGGATTCCTGCTTGCCGTCCTGTGAGCCTCCCCGAGCCCTGCTGGCCTGGACTCGCATTCTGGGCTCTGCCACCACCTGGTAGCCGTTCTCCTTGTGTGTAAAAGATGTTGGGAAAGGGCTTAGGCCACAATAAATAATACTGTTACTTGAGCCAGTTTGTGTAGCTGCTTGGAAAGCCTAGGTAGTTCTTTGTGCATGCATTCGCCATTTTTAAAAATGCTTCAGCAGTGACATTCTTTTTGTTCAAAGAAACCATGGCCAGTAGCTAGGTATTCAGTAGGAATCTTAGAATAACACAATGGTAAGGGCTTCAGATGAAACTTGATTTTTAACTTAAAGAACATTCTGAGGAAAGGGATTGACTGTAAAGTTAATAAGAAAAAGGATCAACATTAAAAACTTCTCTTGAAGAAAAAAAAGAAAGAAAGAAAGAAAGAAAGAAAGAAAGAAAGAAAGAAAGAAAGAAAGAAAGAAAGAAAGAAGTCCCGTTGTGGTCTTTTAATTATGCATGAGTGTGTAATTGCATCTGTATATTCATACATTTCAAATTTGTATTTAAAGACATCAAGAACAGTGATGATGATATAAGTTCACTGGCCACCTAGACTTCCCAGTCTAGAAGAAATGACCTGTTGGGTTTGTTCTCAAAGAAAAGAGTGAGTCATTTGAAATAGGCTGAAGGTATATTAGCAAGCGGGCTGAAGTCCTTCCATGTGGGATCAGATAGGAGATTGACTCAAGTCCTCATTTTCAGCTACCTCCATACCGTTGGTGGCTTGTCAGAGTTAGCAGGTGGAATATTTTCACATCTCATATTTTGCCCATGGTGATGGACATGCATCTGGTTCTTGTCTTACTTGTGACTGAATTTTGATGTGGGTCCTATTTAAAATGTTTCTTCTTCAAAAACCTCACTTACGTAGGCAACATGAAAGGCAAGTCAGTAAGAAAAAAGAAATTGTTTCATACACATAAGCTACTGACCAGAGTTTTCTGTATAAAGCATTTAGAGTATATTCTGATTTTAAAGTAACAGTAACTTCAAGGCAGATATATAGTATTTATGTAGTTTGCAAAAGAAGTTTACATTTTTTTGCTATTGTGATGTAACATTTGTGTGCAAGAACTACTTGTAATAAAAGTATTTGAATAAAAGGATTTGTCATGCTTTTAGATATAATGGCCTAAAATAGAGAGTGTTATGATTTGAAGGTATAGATTTCACAAACTCTGTGTAGTATGTGGGTCTATCTGAAGCTTATATCAAAGCTATCTATGAAATAAAATTTAAGAAAGAATCTCTTCTCCCTTTTTGAGGTGCATTATTGCTTTGTGTATTTTCTTTTTTTATGTTTTTATAGATTTTCATGAGAGAGGAAGGGAGGGAGGGAGAGAAACATGGATGTGAGAGGGAAACATTGGTTGGTTGCCTCCTGCATGTTCCCCAACTGGGAATCCAACCCATAACCTGGGTATGTGCCCTGACCAGGAATCGAACAATTGACCCCTCAATGCATAGGACGACACCTAACCAACTGAGCCACACTGGGCAGGGTTGCTTTGTATATTTTCTAAGGAAAATATTGTTTGTGGTAACTGTAGCACACATTTTATTGCAGAGAACAAATCACATTTGCCATGAAGTGCATACCCTTTTTGCTTTTGTGTAAGTATTTTGAGTCTACAGCTGGCCAAAGGGTGGAGAATTGAAATTGAATTTCAGTCCCCAAATAGCTACTAAGGGATCTTTAAAGGTTTTATTTTGAGGAAAACGCCATTTTTAGTGCCCTGCAACAGAGTGTCATATTCAGAATGGTGTCTGGAGGGGATCCAAGTGTGAAAACTCCTGGTGGAAATATGTAGTTTTTGTTTCTATGCACACACATGTCTCAGAAGGTGCAAGAATCGAGAAGTCAGGTATGTTTGGAAATAACAAATGGCAGTGGTCACAAGGTTCACCAAGAACACAGCAAACCCCTCTCATGGGAAAGAAGATAGAAAAAGAAGGTTTCTACTCAAATTCTAGGACCCCAAGCTTATCTGCAAGTCATTGATCAGATGGTTTTAAAAATTTGACTTAAACCTTTCAGACCAGTTCTTTTAAAAAAAATATTTTTATTGACTTAAGAGAGGAAAAGAGAGGGAGAGATAGAAACATCAATGGTGAGAGAGAATCATTGATCAGCTGCCTCCTGCATGCCCCACATGGGGAATCAAACCTGCAGCCCGGGCATATACCCTGACTGGGAATCGAACCATGACCTCCTGGTTCATAGGTCGAGGCTCAACCACTGAGCCTCACCGGCTGGGCCCAGGTCAGTCTTGACTCAAAGCCTGGGCTGTTCCCTAGCCAAACAAAGCTTTAATTTTCTTCCATTTTGTAGCACTGTGCGAGGTGTTCTGTTAAGTCCGTATTAGAGGAGGGTTAAGTCCATTGTGAAGGCTACCTGCTAGGAAAGATGGGGTTTTGGAGGTCTTTGGCGGGTAAACTGGTGAAATTTATCGGGGGAATTGTTTTAAAAGTGGGTGGTAGACTTGAAGCCCTAATAAAACCTTTAGAAGCTCTAAGCACTGGAATGATCATGGCACCTCTCTGCCCCCATTTGTGTAGTAATTCCAAATAAGAACAACACTAAATGTATGCCTCCATCAAAGCTCCAGTCTCCCTCACAGTCAGCACTTGGGTACGTTTGATAAACACTAAAAGTCAAAATTTAGAAATGTCAATGTCCCTGCTTCACAGGTACTGAGCATGTGCACAGCCCATTGGTGGATGGCCCAGGACTAAGGTCTGGGGGAAGTCAGAAGCACCTGCTTCAGACTGGGGGGAGGGGGAGAGGGGCAGCTCTGTTTGTCTGCTAATGGCAATCCACATAGACTACACACAGGGCATGCCCTGCTCCATGACTGTAGGCTAATTTCCTCATGAGGTTGAAAGTATTATGAGCTTACTAGCTCATTAATCCTCTAATTATTCAGGGAGGGGGCAATAAAAATGCTTGGCCCTCTGTTTTAATTGAGTGAACAAGCATAATGAAAGTAATTATGCTTGTTCACTCAAATGGGTGAAGGTGACTTAGCAACAAACTCAAGCCCTGTTGGTGCCTGCAGTAAAAGTAACCAAAGCAGCATTCTACACGCTGATGCCTCTCACCATCTACTAGAAAGGATGAAGAAGAAAAAAATATATATCCAGAAACAGATCTGACTCTGGGATGCTTAGCAGAGAATTCTGTCCCCATGGGGACCACTAAATGTGACACTAAATTGAAAACTTCAGGGCTCCTTCCAGTTTTTACACATTGTCTTTCAGGCTTAGAATTGGAGTTATAGTCACTTCAAGACATGAAGAATTTTTAAAGGGAAGCTGCATTTTGTGTGAGAGGTGCTCTCCTGAGCGCACCGTATAATTTAAAATACATATCATTTAAGACCGGTTATCACAGAGGAATAATGTTAGCATAGAGATCCTGTTACTCTATGTGTGTGTGTAGGGGGCAGGGGGTTTGCAGGGGGTGTTAAGTCGACATTTAATTTTCATAGCATCCTCTCCAGTGCTGGGTAGAGTGTGCTATTTCCCAAATCAGCAGATGGTAAATGACTAAAGACAGAGGTTAGGGGTTTAGAGAGCTTTTTTTATGTGTAACTTCTGAGCTAAGGGCTCATAGTACACACAATAGCACAATGGTCACTGAAGATGCAGGTGAAGGCTCCATCCAGTACACACCAGTGAGCATGTGCTTCACATCATGCTGTACAATGTGGCACCTCTGTGTGCCAGTCCATGAACATGGTTTGCAACCCACTGGACCAGCCAGTTTTGGAATGTGCAGTTTTTGGAAGTTTTTCAGAGAGTTTTATGCAGCAAAACTTTGTAAAATTTTTCTATATCAGCAACTTCAAGTTTGCATAATTTAAGTTTCCATAAACTGCATCTGTACTGTATTTGTTATTAAAATCACACATTCTATGCACATTCTTTGTTGACCAAAAGGTTGCATTGAAAATAAAGTGTGAGTATGGGGGCGGGGGGGTGCCTATCACAAGTCCAGGTAATATCTCTGTGCATATTAGAAAATGGTATCTCTCCCTTCAGACACTCTACTTGCATCTAGTGGAGATCGTCTAATACACTAATTGTGTTAGTACTTCACTGCTTCATTTCAGAAAATGCTGGTGATACATATGCATGTCCTCGGTTTGATTGGCACACATAGACTTGTTCAGTTCACTACTCACACAAGTTAGCATGACAACCATCTTAAAGAAAGTACAAGATTAAGCCCTGGACAGGTAGCTCAATTGGTTGGACTTGGAACATCATCCAATGTGCCAAGGTTCCAGGTTCAATCCCCAGGACACTTAAAAGAACCAACCAATGAATACACAGATAACTGGAACAATAAATCAATGTCTCTCTCTTTCTCTCTCTCTTTCTCTCTCTGCCCTTCCCCCCCCCTCCCCATTCCTCTTTTCTCTCTAAAAACATCAATAAAAACATATCCTCAGGTAAGGATTAAAATAAAAATAATAATAATAAATAAAAAACATATATACAAATAATCCAAAGGAAATAAAGTGAAAGGGAACTGAAACATGCATGGATGTAGCCAACCTCAAGGTATCAGCATGGAAGATGGGTGATCTTGGTGTTACACTTTATAGATCTGGTCTCTGTTGTATGTGGAGTTCTCCAAGCCTAGGGGAAGAAAAGGAAGTCACATAAATGTGTGAACCTTTGGGTTAAAATCAGCTTACAATCTATCGGTTGGGGTCTATAATGGCTCATCTCAATCAGGGTTGTGTTTTTCTTAGTTAAATGGATGCCTGACCACCCTTTTGTATAAATTAGGAGATGGGACATATCATCTGT